GGGCCCAGCCTCGGCCTCTGCTACTGCCATCGCTTTCTTCCAAGCTCACACTAGTGTCTCTTAGATGACGCTCCGACCTTGTCTGTTCTGGGGCCCCTGACATTGCCCAGGAATACCAATGTTGGCAAAGCCGTCTTGCCTACATACGGTTGTGAAGATGATGCTTCTGCGGCCTCTCTTTACGCTCTGAACCAACAGACTGTAGCGCCAAATGTTTGTACACTGAACCTAGGAAAACAGGGACAAAGGGAGGAGCTTTGAGGGCTTGGCCATTCACAGCGCTGAGCCTATTATGACATAAGCAAATGTTTGTGACACGAAATTTAAAGATATACTCTTAGGGACTAACCCTGCCTGGACAAATGAGTGATTATTTCATTTAAAAATATTTTTAAAATTTATTTTTAACTGATATGTAAGAATTGCACATATTTATGGGGGTACTATGTAATTTTTTAAAAATTGTTTTTATGTTTTAAATATGATAAAATGGGGCCAGGGATTTGGCGCAGTGGTTCCGCCTCACAAAAAAAAAGTTACATAAATCTGATATTAACCAAATTTAAAATATGAAAATAAACACTTTACCTTATTTATTATTACTGTTATATTTTCAGAAGCAGGGATCGAACTCGGGTCCTTGCACTTGCGAGGCAGAAGGCATCACCACTGAGCCAAGTCTCTGGCCCTTTATGAGGCATTTTTTTAGGCAACAAAAACATCAGTATGGTTAAACTTTAACTCATTTCACTTCTGTATTAATAACTACTTTATTTATACAGTAGTCCTGAATAGGCATAAGAACTTCTTGGCATTATCTTGTTTTTAACGGAAAATACTATTTAATAAAACTATATAATAACCCAAAAACTATTCTGGAAAAGTATAAAAGGTTAGAGAGAAGAAGAGCTACAGTTTAGTCCCACCTTTTGGTATGTCCCAAGTCACCATTCTTTCCTGTTTTTAAGATTATGATATTTACTGCAATTGGTTTAGTTTTAAGATGGCAACATATTAACAAATTATTATTGACATGGGCTTTTCAATTTGTCTAAAATTTTGCGTTGTAAGTGGAATGAAGCAGCATTTCCAGTTGACAAATGGATCTGTGGGTAGTGAGATACCGCTTAAATAAAGCTTATGACAATTAAACTAACAAATGGTGGCAATGAGAAAGTATTGACAAAGAACAAAAAGGGAATATTCATTTCAATATATGTAGTAATCTACACTTTATGTAAAAGAATGAATACCTGATGCAGTACAAGTGGTAACCAGGTACCAAGAAAACAGACAATGAGCTTTGGCAAGTGTATTCTTTTAGAGTTTACGATGTAACTAGGGAGGGATGAAGACAGAAAATTTAAGATAGTTTCCTTCGTAAAGGAAGTTATTCGAATAGCCTGTACTAAGCTAATAAAGTTATAAAAGCCATAAATAAAATTATCTTCATGGAAAGTGACAGGAAGTAACTCTGAATGCTGACATAGACAGGACATTGGTAAGAATAAATATTCTGTGCCTTCAGGCTTTGGTGGATAGCTGGTTCTCCAAAAACATAAGCAAGGACTGAAATCCAAATCAAAATTACTCAAAGAAATAAAACGACTTCTGACATTTAGAGGAAAGCTTGGTGAGTTCAGGAAATTCAGGCAATAATCTACACACGATATTAGGAAGACTGGATAATGCAGTAAGCCATAAGCAAAGGAAATAATTTGAGCAAAGAGACAAATATGGTATTTAGTAAACCAAATACCTAAATGTACAAAAGCTCTGAAATAGGATATAATGGAAATGTTTACCAAAAAATGCTAATGAAACACAAAAACATTCCACAGAATTTCCATAGCTGTTTTTTATTCTCATTCCTAGTGTGAGGATATTTAATAATATTTTCCCAAGTACTATCAAGAACAACAGAAAAGTAGCATCAGGAGGCTGATTTGTTGGATATAACTGGTCCTAAAAAGAGCAGTTATTCTGAAGAAAAAATGTCATATTTCTACTTAAATTTTAAGAAGATCTGCTGAAAAATACATGATAAAACACCACTTCACTTTATTTTCCATTCTCAGACTGTAGTTTAACTTGACCTTATCTGAAAAAGTTCTATCCCAGGTTCATGGTAGAAGGACACAGAAGCACAGCTGCCGACCTGATGACTGCCAGGTGGTGTTGCTTGGAGAAGGAGGTCTGGATGGAGTGACCAGATGAGTCTATACAGAGAGTCTTCCTAACCAGTGGTCCTCCTATTTTATTTTGATTTTGCTGCCTTCAGTTATATCACTGTTGGTTCCTTGCATTTCATTTCACTATGCCAAAATGCTACATAAGCTATCCTTTGCAGGTGTAGATTATCTCGGGAAATTGAGTGGCTGGCTCTCCTTGCGGGTCTCTGGGTGCACCTTCCTCCAGAGTCCACCAGCAGGAACCACCTGGCCAGAGCTGAGCCCTCATCCCTGCAGGGGCCCCACCCAGCCGGTGGCAAGGTCACCTCTCCTATGTGATGTTTTGATGCATAACCTATATAATGTTCAAATTGTCAACAACGTATTTGTCTCTTCAAAGAAATAATTTCTTTACGATTGAAAACATTCAGAATATTTTCTTGTAGCTTTTTGATATATATAGTGCATAATTTTCACCTGTAGTCACTCTAGTAACTATAGCACCAGAATTTCTTACTCTTTTCTTAAAATTAGTAAGTACTCTCTGACCAATCTCTGCCCAACCCTCCCTCCCCACTACTTCTTGCAGCCTCTGGTGATTGATATTCTACTCTCAACTTCTAGGAAACCATCTTTAGATTCCACATGGGTGAAATCATGTAGTATTTATTCATCTTTTCTGTGCCTTATTTTGGTTACCTATCTTATTTCCATTTCTATCCATGTTGTTGTGAATGACAGGATTTTATTCTTTTATGGTTGAAGCGTATTCCATTATATATATGTGCAACACTTTTTAAAAGTGTTCATCAGTTGATGGATGCTTGTCCCTTAACTTTTGTCTCCTGAATGCTTTGCTAAACTTCCTCCAGGTAGTTGTGGCTCAGCTTAGACAGACCATTGAAGCAGATCTTGAACTTATGCACACCGTTCCTTTCATGAGTCAATTATTTCCATAAGAGTAAAATAGTAGATTTTTTAAAAAATCAACTTGTTTGTATATTTGTATGTTTATTTTGATAAGTTTCTTTTGGAGTAGAAACATGGTCTAGATAAATTTATCACTTCCCGGTCCTCTAGTATAACTTCAATTACACCATGAGCATTCTCTTGGGTGCACACTTAGGAATAGCATTTTGCCTCTGGTTCTTTAGCTAAATTTCAGTACTTGTTCAGGGAGCTTCCAGATATTCACAGGAATGATGGTTAGAAGATAGAGTGGGACCTAAGGTACCTTAAAAGGTGTTTGTAATGGTTTGCCACTTTCCCCAGTGCCTTTCCATTTTTTTCCTTCCCTGTGGGTTCATAGATTCCAAGATCTAACCATGAGGAGGCTATTTATAAGTCATTTATTAGGTGCCACATAGAAGACAACCTGACAAGAGGCAGGGAGCTTAATTCATTCCAATGATGTCCATTCCATTATTCTGTTACGAGGCAGTTAAATGGTTACAAAAGTGGTTGCCTTTTGTTTTCTTAGGTCCTTATTCTGACTCTGAAGGTATGAAAACTAGATTCCATTCTCTTATATCTGTGTGTATTTAAGAGCCAGTGTCAAATTAAAGGGTTTCTTGGGGTTTTTTCAACATTTCTTGCTATGACCTATTTTCTAAGGTGAACATAATCCCCTTTCTCCTTTGGAAATGGGCCTTGTTATTACTATTAAGGCCTCTTCTCTGAGCACAACAGTTGTACTAATTTAACCAAAGAATTCCTAAGACACATATCTGCTCACAGTAACATGATGGACACTTACATTCACTCTTCTTTACTCTACAGTTACTACATTGGTTTTGTTTTCTTTATTTGTTTAACTAAAAGTACACTATATATTTATTTACATGTATCCGCTTAATTTTGGTCATTTGATGTAGTGTATGAAGTATCTAATAGCAATTCTCTCAGTCCCCATATGATTTTCTAGTTCCAAGTCTTCTGATATTTAATATTCATGGTATTTTGTCCAGCCAAAGTTGTTGATTAAAAATTGAACATATTTCATTCTAGATGTCTGTAACACATTGGGAGAAATCCCCTCTATGTCAGCACTTTTATGAATGATAATTTTTTAAGGAAAAAGAAAAAAAGGTTACTGGCCAAGCAATGTTTGGAAAATATAGCATCCTATATCCTCTATGTTAAAGTCACAATGCTCATTAGATATCCCAGAAACTCAGACATTTATAAGCAATGACAAAATCATTTGTTTAACCTAAAGTTTCCCAATGAAATTTCCAGTGGGCCTTTTCATAAATATTTTAAGTAAACCTTTTATTTGGGATAATTTTAGATTTACAGTTACACAGACAGTGTAGGGGGAGTTCTTATATACCAGTTTCAGTTTCTCTCACCTCATTATTTTACATTACCACGATAGATTTGTCAAATACAGGAATTCAGTATCAGTGTATTACTGTTAACTAAACTCCGGACTTTAGATGACTTGTTTTCCATTAATGCATTTTTTTCTGCTTCAAAATCTAGTCCAGGACTCACACTGCATTTAGTTTTCAAGCGTGGTTTGTTGGAGTTTCTCAATTTTTCTTTGTTTTCATTACTTTGCCAATTTTGAGGAATAATGATCAGCATTTTTTAGAATGTTTTCAAGTTGGGTATGCTTGATTTAATTTCTCCTGAATAGACTAGGGATATAGAATTTTAAAACAAAATTACAGAGGTTATGTACCCTTCTCATCATGTCTTATTGGGAAGAAGGTTACCTAATAACAACATGACTCATCATTATTAAGTTTGATCACTTGGTTAAATATTGTTATCCAGATTTTTCTCCACTATAAGATTATTATTCCATTCCATATTTTGATTTTTTGGAAGTGAATTATTAAGTCCAGAAAACTCTTAAGGGACAAGTTCCTACTTAAATGCAATTACTAACATTTTATGGAGAATACTATTCTTTGTAATATAGTTTGGAAAATCCTATTCTGGATAAGCATAAATTATTTAACCAGTCTTTTTCATTTGGTTGTTAAGTCAGATGTATTCTGACCAAATCACATCATAATTCATCCACAATTTTTGGTGAATGAT